CAGAGCGGTCACCTGTGCGAATGACATACGGGCAGCGACCACTACCCCCAGACGCCCCGTAGCCCGTGCGTCACCCGTTTTCCGCCCTTCGCGTCACCCGTTTTGCCCCTCGCGTCACCCGTTTCTGCCCCGCGCGTCACCCGTTAGTGCCCCGCGCGATTTGCCCGCCAGCCCGCTAGCGCGCGTCAGACCCGCGCACGCAGCCCTAAACGCGCACGCAGCTCTAGACGCACGCGCAGCCGCACGCACGTACATCGCGACCGTTCGCGAGTAGGGGAGGAGCCCGCTACCCGCGCCCGTCGCCTCACCCGTCGCCGATTCGTGCTGAAACCGAGGCCTCACCTGGAACCCATCGCCACGCGTGCTGAAACCCGCCTCCCCACCGGTTATAAAGTGTCCCCGCCGGTTAGAAAGCGTCCCCACCCGCCGTCCCACGCGTAAGCACCTTCCTCACGCCCTGAAACCGCCGTCCAACCAGTTCGCACCCTCCCCACGCCCTGAAACCCGCCTCCCCATTGGTTAGAAAGTGTCCTTACCCATCGCCCGCTACCTTATCCGCCACCCCAACCGTTAGCACCCTCCCCACGCCCTGAAACCGCCTCCCCACCCATTATCACCCTCCCCATGACCTGAAACCGCCCCCCCACCTGGTACCCGCCACCCCACCTGTTGCCCCACCCGCCGCCCCACCTGAAAAGCCTAACCCGCCGCCCTACCTATCACCTGCACCCTGGAACAGCCCCCAACCGCACTCAACCGCATTCAACCGCACAGAACCGCACTCAACCGCATCCAACCACACAGAACCGCATTCAACCATTTTAGACCGCACCAGTCAGTACCCCTACGCGCTAGTTGTTCCTACATACCGGACTATGTCTACCTCGCGAGTTCTCACGTTTGATCCGGAGGGCCGCCCGGTCAATCTTCCAGGATGGCTTCGCAAGCTTAAGCTGTACCTAGGGTCTAGGATCGAGAACGACGTGCGCCTGCTGGAGCACGCCACCGGCAATCTCGTTGCCTCGAAGGATCCCGACCCCCTAGGTGCTTCCCCGTCGGAGGTGGATGAGGCTCGCTTTGAGAAGGCGCAGTTGGCGGCCAGTCGCTGGGCGGCGTGGGACGACGCTACCGTGCTCGCCATCAGCGACCTCCTGCAACTGTCTGAGCAACATCACTTCGAACAGGAGGTGACGGCCAAAGGTCTTTTCGACGCGGTAGTCAAACGGTACTCCACCCCGACCACTGCATCCCTCGGCCGACTTGTGCTGCCCTTCCTTTTCCCCGACCTTCCCTCGTTTTCGCGTGTTGCTGACCTCATTCTGCTCTTGCGCTCGCTTGATGCTCAGCTCCGCTCTGCTGCCCCTGACCCCGACCTGCTTGCCACCAACCCCCCCGCGATGTGGATGACACTGTACCTCCTTTCCACCCGCCTCCCTGACCGCTTTGCCACTGCCCAAAACCACTTCCTCACTGTCAACCCCATGTCCCTCACTAATGACCTCTTTTAGGAGAGGCTCACTACTGTTGAGGACCTTGCCCGCTCCCTTGCTGCTGCCTCTAGTACCGTCCTCCCCCCCATCTTCGAGGGGTGTGCCCCTTCGTTCCTTGCTTCTTCTACCGACTCGGACTCTGTTGCCACTGCATCCGAGGTCGCAGCTGTTGCCTTTGGCAACAAAGGGGGCAAGAAGAGCGGTAAGAAGGGAGGAGGTGGTGGCAGTGGTGGGGGTGGTGGAGGGGGCAGCGGTGGAGGTGGTGGAGGGGGCGGTGGTGAAGGTGGTGGAGGGGGCGGTGGTGGGGGGGGGGCGGCGGGAGTGGTGGTGGTGGCGGCGGAGGGGGTGGGAGTGGTGGTGGAGGTGGAGGTGGAGGCAGTGGAGGAGGAGGTATTGGGGTGTCCCAGCAACAGCAGCCCCAGCAGCAGCAGCCCCAGCAGCAACAGCGCCACCAGCAGCAGCAGCAGCAGCCACAGCAGCAGCGGCAGCAGCAGTTCCAGGGCCAGCGCCAGCAGACCCAGCAGCAGCAGTGGAGGCCGCCTGGACCAGGGAGCTCTGTCAGCAGCAGCGGCCCACCCAGCTGGACGTCGCGTGGCCCGGTTCAGCACCCCCCCTGCCAGTACTGGGTGCAGACTGGGCCGCGCAGAGACGGCATCTGTGGCCGCCTCCACCCTGCGGGTCAGTGCTTTGCGCAGCTTACTGACCGCTACCGCGCCCAGTTTGGCCCCACCTGCTCTGCCCTAGACTGGGCCTCACTGGTCCGCACCGTTGGCACGCAGTTGTATCGCATGTCTGCCGCAGAGTTAGATGATGCTGTACGATCTGTTTCTGTGATGTATGCTGATGACTCTAGTGTTGATCATTCTGGCTATTACTCTTGTTTGTCTAGCTTAGGTGCTGTAGAGGTTGTTAGTGCTGTACCAGCTAGAGTAGCTTGCACAGGTCCGACCACCCAGGCTGCGTCCCTTTCGTTCGCGCTCGACTCTGGAGCGTCCAGCTGTTTCTTTCGCGACCACACCGACCTCACGCCGCTAAGCACTTGGGGCACTGTCGCCTTGGCTGAACCCTCAGTGGGACCGGTGGTTGCCCACAGCACCACCACTCTCCCGTGTCTGGCGGCTCCCTCTGGGGTCCTTACAGGTTACTACACCCCCTCATTCTCCAAGAACATGGTGGGTGTTAGCCACCTCCACGACCTCGGAGTAGTCACCACTTTTCCTTTAGACGATCCTGTTGCCTCCTGCACAGAGAGTGTCACTGGGGCCCCTCTGGCTACTTTCCCCAGGGAGCCGGGCTCTGGTCTTTACTCACTATACACTGGGTCCCGCCACACTGGGTCAGGTTAGGTCAGGTAGCTGCTGTGTCGTGCGACTGTCGGTCACTCACCCACCCGTCGGACCTCCGGCACCACCGTCTAGGTCACCCGTCGTTCCCACGTCTCAGTAGGATGGTACGTCACCGTCTGGTCTCAGGTCTCGCAGGGTCGCTTGCCCCGCTTCCTCGCTCGCCTGCGCCGAGGGTCGGCAGCGCGCTGCCCCTCACTCCTCCTCGTTCCCCCCCACCACGGCTCCCTTCCAGACCCTGCACTTGGACGTCTGGGGCCCCTCTCCGGTCCTTGGCCCACGTCAGGAGCGCTAATTCCTGATTGTGGTGGACGACTACTCCCGCTACACCACGGTTTTCCCCTTGCGACGGAAGGTCGGCGTGCCTACCGTCCTCGAGCCGTGGCTACTAGTGGGGGGTGGCGCCCTTTTTGGGCTCCGTCTGCACTCAGAACATGGTGGTGAGTTCTCTTCGACTCGCCTGGAGACGCTCTGTCAGGGTCGGGGGATCATCCAGTCTTACACGTTACCAGACTCGCCACAGCAGAACGGGGTAGCTGAGCGACGCATCGGCCTGGTCATGGAGGTTGCCCGGAAATCCATGTGCCATGCCGGTGCCCCCCCAGTACCTGTGGCCTCAGGCAGTCCGCTACGCCGCGCACCAGCTGAACCTGTGGCCTAGTGACGCACGGCCACGGGTGACGCCGGTCTCCCATTGGACGGGTTCTCCGGGTGTAGCAGGTGACTACCGCGTCTGGGGTTCCCTTGCCCACGTTCGCGCCCCTCACGTCGACGCAGTCCCACCACCTGGGACGAACGTCGTCAGTGGCCGATGGCTCTACAAGGTAAAGCGACCGCCTGGATCACCACCAGTGTTCAAGGCGCGCTATGTGGCGAGAGGCTTCAGTCAGCGAAAGGGGGTAGACTTCTTCCAGACCTTCGCCCCCACCCCGAAGTTGACTACTCTTCAAGTATTGCTGGATATTCCAGCCCAGCGCGACTACGAGTTGCACTCCTTGGACTTTTCGACTGTGTTCCTACATGGGAGCCTGCACGAGCAGATCTGGCTGCGTCGCCCGCCTGGCTTCACTGGCTCTTTCCCACCTGGTACCCAGTGGCAGCTGCGTCGACCAGTCTACGGCCTGCGCCAGGCTCCACGTGAGTGGCACGACACACTTCGCTCGACCCTTGGAGCGCTTGAGTTCTTTCCGTCGTCTGCCGACCCGACACTGTTCGTCCGCCGTGGCTCGACCCCGTTCTTTGTCCTGGTCTTCGCCACTCCCGACCGACGTGCGCTGGCCTCTGTGAAGGAGGAACTACAGAGGAGACACACTTGCACTGACCTTGGTGAGCTGCAGCACTACCTTGGCCTGCAGATCACCAGAGACAGAGTAGCTCGCACCATTACGCTGACTCAGTCGCATATGGTCGAGCAGATCCTCTCGCGGTTTCGCTTCCCGTTCTCCAAGGTACATCTCACCCCTCTTGCTGTGGATCATGGGCTCACGGCTCCACCTTCGGACGGGTGATTTGTGTCCAGTGGTCCATATTCGAGCTAGTGAGTTGTCTCATGTACCCTCTTAGCGTCCTTGCGCGTTTTTTTGCGCTTGGGAGACACCGTCCGTCTCACTAGTACGCTGCTAAGAGGGTGGCGAAGTATGTGGCGAGTACATCAGGCATGGGACTTGTCCTTGGAGGGAAGGAGCAAGTTACACTCACAGGTTTCTCAGACTTGTCGTGGGCCGACGACGCGGAGACGCCTCGGTCTACACAGGGTACTCCTTTAGCCTCGGGACGGGTGTTGTTTCGTGGCGGTCGACTCGGGCGTCGTCCGTCTCCGGTTCCAGCTATGAGGAAGAGGTGTACGCTGCGGCCATGGCCGCTCAGGAGCTTCGCTGGCTCTCTTTCCTTCTCACCGACCTTGGTGAGCGGCCTCGCTCTCCCCCAGTCTTGTTCGCCGACAACAGGTCTGCTGTCTTGTTGTGTGAGGAGCCCCGACTGGTTGGGAAGGCGAAGCACATCCAGCTTCGTTACTTCCTTCTTCGTGAGTTGCAGCAGCGTGGCTAGGCACTCGTACGACGTGTGGTCTCTGAGGCCAACACTGCAGATATCTTTCACCAAGGCGTTGCCGCCTTGTGACCACCAGCGTTTCTGCACCCAGCTTGGCCTTGATTATCAGTGCCAGGTGTCACAGCTGCCCGCGTGTCAGTGCCAGCACTCCCTGCACATCTATCCGCCGCCTCTTCGCCAAAAGCTCCGCCCTCTTTGCCACATCTGCCTTCTTCTCCCCGCCGCTGCTTCTACTGCTGATCTTGCTGCTGCTGCTGCTCTTGTGTGTCAGGGTAAGTTGTTGCTTGCCCTCTGGTTTATGCCGTTTGTGTGACGAGCTGCCAGCAGCAGCAGCGGAAGCAGGAGTGGCAGGGGGAGCAGCAGAGGGGGTGAAGATGGAGGCGCTGCGAATGGCGGCGCGCTTCTCCGCGCGGTTGTGGTCAAAGCGGTGGGCAAAGGGCGCTGCTGCAGCTGCTGCACTGTCCGCCTGTGAGGGCGGCAGCAGCCGGATCGCCAGCCCCCTGCTGCGTGCCTCTGCCTCCTCCTCTGCCACCCGCTTCTTGCGCTCCTGATGGCCGCAGAATGGGATTGGCGAGACATGGAATGCCAGGGCGAGGTGCGAGTGATAAATCATCAGAGTCATCACGGAGACTTGGGAACAGCAGAGGTGTGGGAGGGAAACGCCAGATGGCAAACGCCAGATGAACAATGCTGGACGTACATCCATCCAACCATGTCAAATACTACAGATTAGAATTGATTTGACTCTTCACCAACAAACCCCCTCCCCCCCACTTCCCTGCCCCCAAAGTCCCCCTCTCCAACCCCTTCCCCCGCCCCTCCCATGCCCACCCCACCCCACCCGTGGGTGCATACCCGGAGGTGGGAGCGCAGCACACGGTTGAGGCGGAAGGGGTCGGCATGCTTGGTGTCCGCAGCAGCCTTCACGGCCGCTAGAGTGGGCGCAGCTGCTGCCGCCCTCTTGCGGTCGCGCCCCCCATGCTCCAATCGCACCAGCGGATCCAACAGCTGCTCTCGCTCTGGACAGTCCAGGCAACGAAGGGGGTGGGATGGAGAGAGACGGGGAGAGAGAGAGGGAGATAAAGGGAGAGAGGGCGATAGGGGGAGAGAGGGGGAGAGGCGGAGATAAAGGGAGAGATATGAAGAGGGGGAGAGAGAGGGAGAGAGAGGAAGAACTATGGAAAGCGAGATGGAAAGGGGGAGAGAGGGGGAGAGGGAGGGAGAGAGGGAGAGGGAGGGAGAGAGGGGGAGCAGGAGGGAGAGAGACGGAGAGAGACGAAGAGCGAGGGAGAGAGAACAAGAGGGAAGGATGGGGGAGGGAGAGAGGGGAGAGAGAGGGAGAGAGAGGGAGAGAGGGGGAGAGAGAGGGGGAGGAAGGGAGAGGGAGGTAGAGGGAGGGAGAGAGAGGGAGAAAGATGGAAAGGAAGGGAGGGATGCGGGTAGTATGGGAATGCTGAGGTCGAAAGGGTGAGCGACAACACCAAAAAAAAAATTATGGGGGCCAGTAAAAAAAGGATGGAGGGTGCGCGGAATGAAGTGGTGAGGCGTAAATGGGCAGTGAGTAGTGGGTAAGTGGTGTGGACAAGGCGGCAGAGGTGGTGCAAGTGCCACCCCCTCCCCCACCCCCCCATCCCCCACCCCACCCGAACCACCCCTCCTACCCTCTTTGGAGGGCAGCTCCACAGTGCCGGCATCCTCTGCATCGTACTCCACCACCTTGCGCTCCGCTCCACTCACCTGCACATACACAAGTGAGTGTGCATGGGGGGCCGAGAGGACGGGGGGGGGGGGGGGGGGGGGGGGGGGGGGGGGGGGAGGGGGGAGGAGGAGGAGGTTGGGAAGCGCGTGAGAGTGTGTGTGTTAGCACGCATGTAAGGGCGAGATATAGAGAGGGGGGAAGGAGAGACAGAAAGACGGGAGTGGGAAGGAGGGGGCAGCAAAAGGTGGAGCATTGGGGTTAGATGGAGAGAAACCACAAGTGATACCATTGTGGAGGCAAGTAAGGAGCACACGAGATAGGCGATGCTTGGAGGCAAGACGGGTCATGGGAGTGGTAAGGGCAGGGCGGCGGGAGGTGTGGGGCATGGGGGTGAATATAACGAACCACAAGGAAAGCCATCAAGGAGGTAAGCAAGGAGCACACGAGATAGGGCAGCAGGAGGAGGGGAGAGGGCAAGTAAGAAGAGGAGAGAGGGAATGGTTGGAGGTAGGTATGGAGTGACTGACGACGAGGTAGTCGCAGTTCTTGGGGTCCGTGTGGATCTCTATCTCGTGCTGGCAGCACGCCGCCCGCATCTTGAAACTCCATATCTGCACCACACAGGGCGGCCGGCAACGGGCGGCAGGGCGGAGTTAAAAGGTGATGGGCAGGGCGCAGAGCAGTGGGGACATGGTCATGACTCATGGCAGGGCGCGCAGCTGGTGCAGCACGCAAGCAAGCGGAATGCCATGGAGGAAAATGAGTGCTGGAGCCTGGAGGTATGAGCGTTGGGAGGAAGAGCACCTTGGTGGAGAGGTAGTTGGCGATGTGCTTCTTCTCCGCGTTGAACCGCACGCCCTTGGCGATCATGCTCTTGCACCCGCCACACCACACGTGGAACGGCATCTCAAACCTGCCCGCCGGGGACACATGGTGTTGGTGGTGCCACGGGACAGGGAATGCGGGAAAATCAGCGTAACATGAGTGCGGCAGCAGAGGGGTATGCATGCGTGCATGGCTTGTTGTGTGCTGAGGTACTACTGGCGGATGCGGTACTACTGGCGGATGAGGTACTACTGGCGGATGAGGTACTACTGGCGGATGAGGTACTACTGGCGGATGAGGTACTACTGGCGGATGAGGTACTACTGGCGGATGGGGTACTACTGGCGGATGAGGTACTACTGGCGGATGAGGTACTACTGGCGGATGCGGTACTACTGGCGGATGCGGTATGGAGCACGAGAGGATGGCGGCGGTAATGCGACCAACCGCATGGGGAGAAAGCGAGAGGATTGAGTGAGCAGGGGACAAAGAAGTAGGGTGGTGTTGGGGGAGATTAATGAAGAGTACCGTAAATCGAGGTGACGGCACAAGAGCACATGGTGAGGTGTGGGTGTGGGGTGGGGTGTGGTGGGAAAGATGAGGTGAGGTGAGCGCGGTGGTGTGCACCTGATGACGAGAATGCCATCGCCCAGCTTCTTCGCTCGTTCTCTCAGCGGGTGCTGTCCCTGAAACTTGTTCAGCGAGCCCTGCCACACCACCGCGCCATGCCACGCCACGTCACATCACGCCACGTCATGACACAGACATCACGCCACGCCACCTCATACCACAGCATAACATGCGCGAGGGGAAGCACACGGAGAGGCAATGACGCCGTGACGTGCCGACGCGCGGATGGCGGAGCCAAACATTACACCGTTTCCTTGCGCGCGCGCGATCAAGGGAGGGGGGTGGGGACAGGGAGGACGAGCGGCGAGAAAAGAACACGACGGATGGACGGCAGTGGAGGGGGAACGAACGGAGAAACAAGGAAGATCACACGGAAATGCAGAATTGGAGATGGATGAAGGGGAACGTGAGAGCATGGCCACACGCCGTGAATAATGTAGAGGGAGCAGCGGCGGGAGCACGTACCTGCTCCGGCGTCCATTCCGGCGGGTAGTAAAAGTTGTCGGCCCGCGCGGCTGCTAGCGTCGACTGCAGCAACGAGCAGAGGGGGGCGGAAACAAGGGTGCACGAGTTAACGTTAAGGAGTAACAACAAAGTGAGAATCAAAGCGCGCGTAATTTCCGAAAACGAGTCAAGTTGAACCGCGAGGCGACTGTTTACCATGATGAATGTTGAACCTGACGACTACTTGACTCCACTACAGGAACGTCTTGCAAAACTTAGCTAGGTAACTGAGGCACACGGCACTTGGTGGATGAAAACGAAGGATGACAGCGGAACCCTAAAATATGCACCAGTTTTTGTTCGGGTTTTTGTGCAGGCGAGCTTCGTCCTGATAACGAAGTTGGAACAACTGCGATTGTTCTACAAACAGTGAAATTGAGTTCACTATACTTGTTACGATTGCACTTTCTCGAGCCAAAAAAAGGATTGTGGCGAGTAGAATTCGAAATCAACAAAATCCGTCTCAGGGTACGTTCTTGGCTCGTGTCAAACTTCGTGTTTTCCGAGACCAGGGGCAAATTTTAGCCGGAAGACCCGAAGTGGGTCTCGGATGACCCAAAGTGGGGCCAACTGTGGGGCAGCTTCGTGTCATCTCCGGAAGACCGGAAGTATGACACGAGCCAGGAACGTACCCTCACTGGTTTGTGCGAAAGTACCCAGCTGATGACATTCGTTAAAAAATTCTCGAAGTTCGTTAATCTCGGCCAAGTAATTGACATCTCAGGGAACATTCGGGACGTGACATGTCCCAAAAGTACGCGTCACAAGCGTTTGTGACGCGCAAATCCAGCATATGCTGTCAGATGTCCGAATGACAGAGCGCGCACGTGCGACGTGTGCTGTATTTTACATTGGCCAGCGCCAATCACGGTTCTGTCGCCAGCGAGTTGCATTGCATGCTGGCACAAAATCGCACAACGGATGTTGCGGCTCGAAATGTCACGTCAATGCGTCGTGAACCTAGACACTGCCCCCAGTCTGAACTACACGTGGGACCCCAAAAACACTTGTCCTTGCTGCCCATCCTGCACGAAAACGAGGCATTCAGAGACCACAGATCCAGCACATTATTTTCCCGCCAAAACGATATGCACGCTCCCCTTCCCCACCCCAAGTCTGGCTGCCTAGGGTTGCGAACCACTCCCCCTATACAAACTGCAAGCACGTGTCCCGAGTCACAATTGCACCTCCCGATTTTCTCTGCTAGGACGAAGTAGCAGTTTCCGCCATGGTCCGTAAGCGTAAGAACGCAGACCGCGATGACTGCCCTGCCGACCTTAACGAGATCCCTTACAACCGCTGGATAAACGACCAGATCGCGAACGGTCGTCGTCCCGCATCATACGTCCCGCCTGCCGCGGCGGTGCCTGAAGGCACAACTTCGCAGATGCATGCGGCGGGTCCTTCGCGAGTGTGCCGACCACCAGCGCGTGTGGCGACTTCTCGGGCTGCCGAAACGGAGGACGACGAGGACGAGGATGACTCCGAATTTCATGACGACGGAGACGGCACCGACGACGACGATGAGGAAGAGGAGGTCGGTGATGTCGAAGGCAAAGAAGAGGAATACGAGGAGGATGATGACGACGTCGCCGATGAGGAGGGGCAGCCCGTGAAGCCGCCATCACGCCAGACTGCAAGCAGGGCCGCGAGCAGCGCCAAGGACAAGGGGAAGGCTCCTGCTGTGGACAAGCCGCGCTCGAGGGCGAAGGCTCGTGTGGACGCGCCACGCGACAAGACCATGTGGTCCGAAAAGGAGAACGCGATCTTCGCCGCCGCCCGTTGGTTCACCAAGGACGAGATGAAACCACTTAAGGGCAAGCAAGGGACCCAGTACTGGGCGCGCCTTGTAGCCCACATCAAGGAAGAGAACCCGGGATGGTTCCGGGGCGTCAACGCAGTGCAAAAGCAGTGGCGCAACTTGATGCGCCTGTGGAAGCAGCTCCACCGAGGTGACGGCGGTTCTGGTAATGGATCAGTGGTCAAGCCACCCTGGTTCCAGTTCATGGAACTCACAACCGCGACACGGCTGATGCCGATCCGCACGCGGTCGATCAGGGAGGCGTGGGGAACATCAACGTGCGCGCACGCATGGAGGTGCCGTCTTCCTCACAACCAGTGACTTCGACGCCCACGTTTACTGGTAGGTTTTTTTTTTTTTTTTTTTTTTTTTTTGCTTATATGAGCTATACACCGATACAAAAAGCGTACAACACATAAACAGTCGTAACCGTGCGTGAGAAGCAGGAAGGCCTGCCTCAGAGAGAATCCAATCCTTACACGTGGATCCGGGGCCTGTGTGGCTTGCCCCAAATTGCTGCGAAGCTGTTCGACCACCGCCAGCTCTTACCCTCCACTACCCTGATGCGGTTCAGAAGGCGCTGCTCCTGATCTGTCATCACGTGCCATCTGGCCTGCTGCTTCTTCCCCTTTTGCTGCAACTTCCTCGCCGAGGCTCGCACGTAAATGTTCACATGCACGCACAGAGCCGTTTCAATCCTCCGCAGCACCCGCCTCGTGCGGAATTTACAGCCACGGAAGGCACCTTCACACCGCTCCGCCCACAGTTGATGCAAAGCGATGGATATCAAGGTCGCCTCAGGGAATGCTGACGTGGACCCTGCCTTCCCGAACAACCAGTCACCCAGCGACTCCGCCCGCCTGGCGGGGTTAATCATGCGCAGGGCTCTTTTCACCACTGCGACCTCCACTTGAATCCTTGGGCACTCAAAGAAACAGTGCTCCAGCGTTTCGAAACTTCCACAGTAAGGACACACCGGCCTGCTCCTGAGAAACGGGAGCCTCTCACCGACTTGCAGGTTCAGACTGTGAATTCTCAGCAGAACATCCCTCGGTCTGCTGGGGGTGACCAGCGATTCCCGAGTTTTTACTGCCCGCTTCCAATATATTCGGCCGCCCCATCTAGTCTCCCACTTGCTCTGCCTGGATTGTCCACTGCCACCATGCCCCCAGCGGGACCGGAGGCTTTTCAGCGGCGCAACTTCACCATTCACCAGGAGTTTTGCGCGAAGCTGTTTTAACCCCGCTCTTCCTGCCTCATACACCTCTGCAAAACCCATCTGCGGAAGCTCGGCTGAGAGAAGCAGCCCCCTCCAGGCTTCCGGTGCTGCTGCAAACGCCTCAAGAGCTAGCTTTGCAGCATCCTTCCCCAGCAGCTCCCTCTCTAGAGTGGCAAGGCCTTTCAGCGTGCCCCTCCCCTCCTCATCTTTCTGGATCAGATCCCCTAGCCTGACATCCCGCAGCTGCTTAGCTGCCTTCTGCCCCCCGAATGTCGTAGACCCTTTCCTGAGAATGTGTCTGTTAAACACGATTCTCTCCAGCGCCACCTCCTCCTTGCTCCGCTCAGCTCCAGTCGCCGCCAAAGGGGAGCGTATGAAATTCTCGCACGCCAGCTTCCACCGTTGGCTCTTTCCCTCCCATGATTCCAAGAGCTTCTCGTGCGACAGAAACGTGTCAAGCCCCAGCGGCAGGTCCGCCGCCTGGCGCATCAGGTTCCGCTTTAACTGGCTGGGTTCAGTGAGTATCGACCCGATCCTTCTGGCCGTGAAGCAGGTAAGCATGGCTTCCGGGTCCTTCGCACCCACACCCCCTTCCATCACCGGTGTGTACAGCAACTCCTTACTCCATAGAAAGAAGCACTTCTCCGTAGTGACCTTGTTGGCTGACATGAACGTGTGTGACAGCTTCATGATTACCCCCCAGGTCCGAGCAGGCGGCGGGTACACCTGCGCTTGAGACCAGGCGATCGGTAGGATGTAGCCATCCATCACTGCTCTCCTCGCTTTGATCGGCAGATACTGCGGCTGCCACAGCGACATCTTCCCCACAATCCGCTCCAAGGCCTTATCCCACGTCGGCTGACAGCTTCCGCTCGGCGTAACCCAGATACCAAGAAGCTTCTCCGCCTCATCCGCGCCAGCCCATCTGAAGCCATCCGTGCGCCAAGTCGTTTTACCAAGATTGACTCCCAGCGGGAGCACCACCGACTTTTCTTTATTTGTCGCCAGCTCCGAGATACTTTTGAACTCCTCCAGTGCCTCCTCTGCCTTAACAATTTGCTGTTTTCCCTGAAGCAGGAGGGTGGTATCATCAGCATACCCGATGTAGGCAAGCCGCTGCCCAACACAGCTGCGGAGGGTGATTCCGAGCTTCCTCTTCTCCACCTTCTGCACCAATGGTTCCACCGCACAGAGGAACAGGTAAGGAGCAATGGGACACCCCTGCCTGACCCTAGATACCACGTCCACTGCCTCCCCCTTCCATCCGTTAACTAACAAGCTCGTGCGCGTGTTTTCATGCAGCCCTTTCACCCAGCCAACAAACCGCTCCGGGAAGCCCATCCTCCTGAGGACCTCGAAAGTGAAGTCACGGGACACCGAGTCAAAAGCTTTTTTAGAATCAACGAGCAACATGTACCAGTCTTCCTTGCCATTTTTGGCCGCGTCAATGACATCAACAACCAGCCCAACTGCGTCAGAGACCCGCCTCCCCGGTATGAAACCAATTGCTCCTGCGAGATGACTTTATGAAGCACTTTCTTGATCCTGCTTGCCAGAACCCGCGCCAGCACCTTGTAGCTGAAATTCAACAGGGTAATCGGCCGATAATTCTCCAACTGTTCTTTTGCTCCTTTCTTGTGCAGGAGAATGGTCACCGCATCCTTGACACTGGTCGGGAGCGATGCCGAGGCAGTGAAGCTCTCCACCAGAGCCATGAGGTGTTTCCCCAACACATCCCAGTGCTGCTCAAACAGCTCCTTCGGGAGCCCGTCCTTCCCCGGGGATTTGTTGCAGGCCATCTCCCGAAGAGCACGCTTCACTTCCGCTTCAGTCCAATCCTCCTGCAGGCACTCCGCCTCCGAGAACCATAACCTCTTTCCTGCCGCTGGAACCCAATCCAAGACCGCCGTTCTTTTGTCCTCACCAAAGAGACCCCGGTAATATTCTGACGCCGCCTCCAGGATCTGTCTTGGCTCAGTTACCACCCCCCCTGCAACCGCTAGCTCCGCAATCTGCGTCTTGACCCTCCGCACCTTAATCCTCGCCGATAAATGTGGAGAGGGAACTTCACCGACAAGTTCCTTATTTATTTCCGCCATGAGGTGAGTCCTCTCTCGCCGACATGCATGATACTCCTTTAGCTGCCGTTCCCGCTTCCGTAACTTCTCCTTTAGCAGCTGATCTTTTGGGTTGCACATGAACGCCTCCTTCATTGCTGCAACCGACGATGTGAGATGCCTAATTGTCGCTCTGATCCTCTTGCTCTCCTCCTTAGAATATGCTCGGAGACTAGCATTCAGGCGAGATATCAGCACAGCAAAGTCCCCGCCTTTTTGCGCTACCTGCCGCTCCACCTCCTCTGTTAGCTTTCGGACTCCTGGTCTGTGCATCATGGAAGGATGCAGACGCCATAAGCCAGGGCCGGTCTGCATCTGAGACTTGACTTTGAAGGCGATGCGGATGGCGAAGCCGTGGTCGGACACTGGTTCATCCGGCATGGCATGTGAGGCGGACACAAGGCGCGGGAGAAGGGAACGAGAGACCAGAGCTCGATCGATCCGCGTGCACCTGTGAGTAAAAGGTGAATTCCCGCTTAAAAGGGTAAAGAGCGCGGAAAGCATCAGCAATGTCAGAGGTATTGCAGCGTTGGTAGAGCAGATCATTTTCCTTTGCCGAACCCTTTTTCGACGTCTTGTCCAGCAGCGGATCTTCAACAATGTTAAGGTCACTGATTATGAGCAGATGAGAGCTCGGCGGAACCAGATCAACCGCTGGGCCAAGAACATTTCTGATAAACGCACGCCTCACAGCCTTGTCTGAAGGAAAGTAAGTTGCTATCAGGGTCAGAGTCAGGCTGGCACACTGGACTGGTAGGCTATTAAGTATATGGTATGCGTTGAACGCATGTTTGTTTACGCCTACAGTCGATGTATGTTTACGCTAGTGTCGTCTCATGCCGTGAACGCTGCATGCGGTACGCTCCGCCCATACCAAATGGCCATTTCATTACGTACATACGGTACACAATGTTAATGGACATGTACTACCATGACTACTACTCATGAGCTCGCTCCCCCTCTACAGCCCCCCCTGCGCAGGACATACCCTCATCGAAGCGTCTGCGTGTGCGTGAGATGGCAACCATGCAGGCCGCCATGCTCGTCTCGGATACGATCAAGAGCTGCCACGGGGATGCGATGAACCGGCTTGAGACCCTCGTGCGTGAGTGGATGCAGCAGGACGTTCGACCATCTCAGGAGCGCGCGCAACAGCATGGCGGGTCTCCTGCTGCTCGGAATGTCCGCAACGAAGGCCCCCCACCGGCAGCCACCGGAGACGCACGCGCATATGGGCGGGATGACCCTGCCGTTGACCATCCCGAAGAGACGACGAACGGGGATGGCGATAAGGCAAACGATGTCAACCCTGATGCGGATGAGGATTTACAACATTTGAACGCGACTCGGAAAAAATGGGGTTACGACGCATACCTTTGGGACATGTCACGTCCCGAATGTTCCCTCATAGCTACAGTCACTTGCGATGTCGCACACATCGCCTAGCGACATAACGTGTGAACCCCCGGGCGCATCGCCCCAACGTGAATGCCACGGAAAAGGCAGAGGGGGTCATTTCCTCCTCCTTGCTTTCCCCCGATTGGTGCTTCGCTCTTCTACCACTCCTGCCTCACAATCAGCCATAACAATATGTGCAGCCTTTGCACGTCGTTTCATTCAAGGCGACTGGCTTCCCCTCTTCAACGAAGCTGTCGCCGCTGCTGTTCCAGCATCCCGACCGCACAGTCTATCGTCCGCCCGGTCCACAGCTACGTTCGCTCGGTTGAACAGGGCCAAACGGTTCGCGCATTGCGGAGATTGGTCGCGTTCCCTTGCTGCTTTAGAGGCTGGAGAGCTTGCCCCACCGACCCCTGAAACTGTTACCGCGCTTAAGGCCAAGCACCCTCCTCCTCTTGAAAAACTTCCGGATTGGCTCACTGTTCCACTTCTTCATCATGCCATGCGGTCAGCCCCTCGCGCCACAGCTGCTGGCCCTTCTGGTTGGCTCATTGAGCACCTTCGCGATACCTTCCTCTCGTACCAGTCTCACATGCCGCATCTCCTCCGCCTGTTCCAGAATTGGCTACAAGGCGACCTCCCGCAAACAGTCCGACCTTATTTCACAGCATCTACTCTTGTCGCCCTTCACAAGCCGCAAGGAGGCGTCCGCCCCATTGCCATCGGCGAGATACTGCCGCACTTGCTATCCCGTTGCGCCACTCTTCACTTCAAGCAGCAGATCACGGATTTCTTCCTTCCCTACCTACAGTTTGGGGTTGCTGTCTCTGTAGGGATCAAGGTTATGGCCTATGCAGTCCAGTCAGCCCTCTCCCTCCACCCAGACTGGGTTGTGCTTGAACTGGATGTGGCCAACGCTTTCAACTCCTTCAGTCGTTCCTCTTTGTTCAACGCCTTGCGAGACTCCCATTCTTCCGCCTCTTCTATGCCTTCCCCTCTTCACTTCATTACCGCAGCGGCCCATTAAAGCGGCAGTATACATCCAAAGTGGTGTTTTTTTGGGGTATTTTTTATGCCCACCCTTTCGTGCGAGAACAAAGTCAGCATGTTTCAGAAACACCGCAGCGACGAACTCAGACAGGAAACGCGAATCCAGCCCAATTTCGTGCTGACACATGGTTTGGGGGAAGGGTGTGCGGAAGGGTGGGAAAGAACCTGGGGAGTTCGGTTTTGGGCAGAAAGAACCCCAACCCCCTCTCTCCACCCCCTTCAACCGTTAGCTTTGCAGGAAAGGAGGCCGAGTCCAAAAACTGGTCACCCTGTTTTCAAGTGATAAACTCAGGCCTCCCGCTCGAAGTATGTAGATCGTAGCTTTAATCAAGACACTTCAGTCATCATCGGGTGTTCGACATGGCGACCCATGTGGGCCATTCTTGTTCGCCCTCACTCAGCACTTAGCCATTCGCCCCATCCAGCAGCAATCTCCAGCTATCTTCATCACCTCCTACGCGGATGAGACGTATATGGTTGGCCCATCGCAGGAGGTGTTTCCTGCCTATACAGCGCTTACTACTCGTCTCAGTAGACTCGGCCTAAGGGTGCAACCATCAAAATGCTCCCTTTGGGCCCCTTTGGACCTCCTTTCAGGCCTCACACCTCCATCAGACTTCGTCACTGCCCCTAACGGTATCACGGTTGCGGGAGTACCGATCGGTTCGGACACCCACATCATCTCTACAGTTCGAGACAAACTGCCCTCTTTCTCTTCATCGCTGCCTCTCCTGCGTGAACTTCATTATCCACAGACTTCCTCTCGCATCCTTTCTCTCTGCATCTCCGCCCGTCCCTCAATCCTCCTCCGCACAGTTGTACCATTCCCCGAGATTTAAGAGCTCTACACTGACTGGGACAACAGCTTGCTTGACCATTTTGTTCGCCTCATCGGCTCTGACTACTCGCCTCCAGCATTTGACCACACTGCCACAACACACTGACAGACATTCCTTCCCATTCGCCTTGGAGGGTTTGGTCTCCGTTCTTCAGCTTCAACTGCAACTCCCAGTTACCTGTGCAGCCGGGTACAGACAGCTTCACTCCTCTCCTCGTGCTTCACCATCCACGGCTCTCGTATTTTCCGCCCCTTCATCACTTCAGACACCATGGACCGCCTTGACCCATGCATCCCTAAAGCCTTGTCCAAACTTCATCCATCCATTCGGCAGCACTTCCCTACCTGGCCTGCACTCCACGCTGGCTACCTGCAGAAGCTGTATTCATAAATGGCTACCTGCAGAAGCTGTATTCCTACCTTTCACAACACTTGGACGCTCTCATGCTTGAGCGCGTGCGATCCACAGTAACCTCCCCCCAACATTTGGCCCGTTTGACCTCCCTCCAAGGGCCCTATGCTGGCGACTGGCTTACTGTGGCTCCATGCTCTCTGCACATGCAGCTTTCATCCACGGAGTGGTGCATTGCAACTACTATCCGTCTTGGTCTCCCCATTCCACACCTCACAACCACCCGTACATGCACTTGTGGCTCGACATTCACGGATCCTTCAGTCGTCTCACATGTCCTCTGCTGTCCATCTGCTAACGAGCCTACCAGGGTTCACGACGCTATCAAGCATGAGGTTCACCGCATCACGTCGGAGCTTGGTTATTGTTGTGAAGTTGGAGGATTCCCACCTTCTTGCAGGACGCCGCCCTGACATAAGCTGCCGTGACATCAGCTCGGGGACAACATGGGCATTAGATGTTTCGGTCGCAGATCCCCAGCATGCCCCCCCAAATTCCAAAACTACACCCGCCATCGGTTCAGCCGCATCTGCTCGCGAAATTGAGAAGCGGACCCTGTATGCGTCATCGTTACAAGACCGACCAGACGTAAAACTCCTGCCTCTTGTCCTCGAAACTTTCGGTTGCTTCGGTACGACATTCCTCAACTTCATCAAGGACTGCAGCCGACGCGGGGCGACATGGCTTCGGGACATGGATGACACATCCGACCTTATGCCAGTGCTTTTCGAGACGAGCTACTTCAAGAGGATTTCTTTGGTGCATCAGCGCGAGCAGGCCAGAACCATTTGCCGTCGGACACAAATCCGCTACACTACTGACACACCTTCCGCGCCACCAGAACCCGCCCCACCTTCCTTGGCTGATTTTGCGTACCTTGGTGTTGCTACTTGAGACCTCATTGGGGTCTCAACCTAGCGTAGCAGGCATTGCTAGTTAGTTAGCTTTTTATTGTATCCTCTGTACACATATTACATAGTAAATAAAGCGGGATCAATGTGCACTTCAGGCATCACATCTTCTCAACCCCCTTCTTCCCTAACAAGACTGGAATACAAATCCCGTTGGGAAAAGCAAAACCCACTCAGTTTCCCACTTGACGACATCAACAGCATGGCTTCCCATAGTGCTAACAACAACCACGCATGCAGAGCCCAGCACCCCTTGTATCAACCAAGTCGTGGATGTTTATACTCTGGCTTCGACGAGCGATCCTCTCCCGCCACCCATCCGGACAGCAGGCGAGCCATCCACCCGCCATGTGAACCTGTGGCAGCGCAACGCTACGTGGTGGATCAACAATCTCCTGCGGCCCGACGAGCCTTACGGCATAGACGACGACTACGACCTGGGCGAGGAAGCACCTGAGGAGTGCTCCGCCAATGACGACGAGGAGCAAGACCCATATGTGGGCCGAACTAACACGAAATCAGGGGGGACTACTGCTACCGGCACAACGCGTTCTACGACGACATTGCAGCGCTGGGCTAAGGACGAGGAAATACTCCTCATGCAGGAGCGTTACGTCTTGCAGGAGGATTGGTCGGGGATGCGCGTGATGCAGGGGCAACATGGTCATTTTGCAAACCCTCTCAGCACGCATTCAATAAATTACGCAGACCGGCCTCCAATTCACTCGGCGCTGGAGGCCATACCAACACAAGCTAGGGACGACGCTACCTCTCTCACTCGGCGAGCATTTCCCACAGCGGCAACACCCTTGGCGTCAACACCGATGCCAACTCGCCATCGTGGATCCTCGCGTTCGCGCACTGGGGCAGCGTCACTCGGTGCGGGCCCTGGCGGAGCGCTACGCAGTGGGTGCAACAAGATGAGGGCGCGACCGACGTCTGCACGGGATGGTGGCGGGAATGCAAACGAGGACCATTTCATGCGGAGGCATGGCGGTAGCAACTCTACGCGTTCGTTAGTATATAAGGTTTGTGAGCATGCGGCAAAGGAACTCACAAAAGCAATACAAACGTGCATGACGCATTTTTTTTTACGTTCCCGAGAAGACGTGCCTTTAGTTGTAATCAGAGAGCCTCGGATTCATTTGATGGACCCTGCGCAAGTTTCCTTGTTGCATTTTACAATCTGCAAATTCGGTATATAACCTACAAGCTTGTTATTAGCCAAATTCTCTGTGTTTACAATTGTAGAGTCACTAAGAACGGTCTAGTCGTTCCCGCCATCAGAACTAGACATAATGTTACTAAGGGTGCTCGCTATCAGACATTTTTGTCTCTTAGTTTTGAGTTTTCAGAAAATTGTTCTTTATATATATGTATATATTCATTTCATCTCATTGATAAACGAATGATATATTGTTTTCATCCGATTTGTCAGAGCTGTATTTTATGATTCATATGAGATAGAAATTGTTAGTCTAGCGTGAGTTTAGGCAAAATATGCCACAACAGGTCAAATCTGTGCTGTGACTGGTCGAATTTCTGTTGTGATGGGTCGACTCTGTAGTGACAGGGCATTTTTTTTGCTGTGATAGGTCAAATATGCAGCGACAGGTCGATTTTTGTATCACATGTCCAGACCGATTCAAAATTCTATTCCGATTGCACACGGAATGTGAAGAATAGTATTCGATTGGTCAGACAAGCTTCAAAAGCAATTTCCGATCCATCAGACACAGTAAAAAAAAAAAAAAAAAAAAAAAAAAAACCAGGCCCGTGTTGCGAGGAGTCACTTTACAACAGGAGTGGACTTACGGAGGAAGGCACGGGGTTGTGCGAGTGATCGTAGCGTCCTACTAGTGTTCTCACTACTTGCTGTGTTCGCAGAGAAAGTTGGCAAAAGTCTCACTAGAAATTGAGAAGAATAGTAGATTACAATGAGGCATGGAAGTCGATATAGCTAGAATGGCATTGCAACACCTAGCAAGCCCTCTGCAGGGCGAACTTTGCTAGCGCAGCAGAAGAACGGCTTGCCAACGCTGCAGCAGGGCGGCATGCAAGCATTGCACCGCAACGGCCTGCCAGCACTGTAGACGCAAGTGAACTTCTGCGCATGTGCGCACCAACCAAGTAGGTGCTTGCAGACGTCGCGCCGCCATGCACATTGCGCAGGTGCCAGGTAGAAAACGTGACGACGGTTTCACCAGCCATGCACCGTCGAGCATGTGATGCCATTCCGCAGGTCGACTTCGCGAAAACCTCATGGGCGACATTCGCGCACGCGTCAGATTTCGAAGTCGAGCGACTTGCGTCGACCAGCTCGACGATGCTCCGTCGAACAACGTTCGCTGAGACAAGCTCGTCGAGCAGAGCCCGTCCACCAATACCTCTCTACGGGCTCGTCGACCATCATCCTCTGCGGGCTCGTCGACCAGCATCCTCTGCGGCGATGACGACCGCATCCCGTCGAGCAAGGTCTGCTAGACCATCACCTCCGCAGAACCTCGTCGACCAGACAACTTCGTCGACCTACTTGCCTAAGTCGACGTTGAGCTATGCCTAGAGTCGACGTTGCGCTATGCGGGCGGTCGGCATCAACTTTAGCGAGCAGTCGACGTCGAGTTCTGCGGACAGGTCGACGTAGAATTCTGCGGGCAGTCAGCGCCAAATTTTGCGGGCGGTCGACGTGGTCTTCTGCGCACGGTCGAGGTCGACTACTACGCGCGGTCGGCGTCGACTTCTGCGCGCGGTCGGCGTCGACTTCTGCGCGCGGTCGGCGTCGACTTCTGCGGGCAATCGGCTGCACCTTCCGCGCATCCGACTGCGAAGTTGGCTTCCCCCAAGCGAGGGCGGGGCCATTTCCCGTCAACACTCCCCTGCCGCGCTCGCGCTTGGGCACCCCACATACTAGGTTTACCCAGAACCTCTGTCTGCGTGCACCCAACGCATAGCACGCAAGTCACCGCACCAGCCGTGCAGAAGGACACGGCACCTACTGCTGCACCTCGCCGTCGACGTCGGCCAACCACACTCACGGAAAGTAGCCCGGTTTTTCACGTGCAGTGGCCCAAACGAGCCCTGAACGTGCACGGGCTTGGCCGAATATCCGGACATAGAATCAGGGCTGTGTATAGGGTTGTCCTTTTTGGCGTTCTAAGCTAAAGTTAATACTTCACAGTGCTGCCCGTATTTGCATTGAGGTTTACAACTCATCAACATGCAATATAAGTGTCTTAGTCATGGCTATCATTGAACTACGCTAACTGGAAACTGACACGACATCAGGAGCCATACTCATCCTAAGGACGCGGGCACTTGCATCGATTACGGCGATTGATCCTGCCGCATGATCGTTTTTTGACGGGTTTTAAGAAGGTCATACAGTTTTTTGCAGGTTTTCAGTGCGGTAGCGGATCGATATTGCACGATCGATCGCCGAACTTGATGCAAGTGTCGTCCTGAGTAGACGATACTAAAAGAACACCCCACTCCACCCCACAACTTGGTTCGAACATTTATAGTTCTATCAGCCTTTCTCCAAGCCTAAGGGCGCGTAACCATTTTGTTTTTGTTTTCTTGAAGTTACGTTTAGAAACGAACGTTAGATAAATAAACGGTTCCGTATCCGGAACGGAACCGTCCGTTTAACGAAACAGAACTCGAAATTTCGAACCGTCGGGTTGAACCTTACTCAAGATTTGAAAACTCACGAAAATGTGCAATGTTACGCAATCAGGCGACACTCGTCATTTTCGTACAGCCAGTATGGGGACCGATGTCAATGATGACATTGCACTTCGGTTGTTCCCGCAAATTCACGGTGTTTTCGCGCGCCAACCACAAGTCGGCAAACTCGACCAGTTCGTTTCTGACAAACCATAACCGTCCGTTAGATGGTTCCCTCCATTTTGGGGAAAAAGTGCCACTCGGTTATGTTGCGATAGCGATGTCGCATGGTTACTTGCGAACTAACTAGCGAACACCAACGATTGCTATAACCACCATTTCGCACGGACGGTCCGAATAACGAACCGTCAAAACCAAAATGGTTACGCGCCCTAACATCACTGACAGATGCGGTCCCAGGTCAATAAGTACGAGGGAGAAGGTTGGGGGGGTTGGTTGGGAAATGGGAAATTACGAGGAGGGAGGGGGGGGGTGGGGGGGGGGGTCCGCCGAATCTCAGGTACACGTAAGGGCCAGGGCCGAGTTTTGCCCTGATCTCGTCCGGGAAAGGCCCCAGCGCAGCCCTGACTCGGCACGGACAGCACCCGAAACCAAAACCAGGCGGAAAATTGTCTCTCGATTGTCCTTGCATATTTGAATCCTGCACGGGTACATAGTAGTGGGTTGGTTGGTGTCTCACCATGGTCGAAAGGCGTGAGCAACTGACTTGTACAGTGAATTGTCCGTCAAGGCGAGAACGACTTTTGCACTGTGCGGCAGCAGTGAGTTGCAGCTTGCAGTTTGCGACAGAGAGGGGCAGTCGAAGCTTCCGCCGAGGATGCTTCCGAGCAGTATCGGATCTGACACACGTGTAACTTCGGTTCGGGGAGAACTCCGGGTCAACCCTATCCACTAGAACGATGAGGCGCGCTCCCCGCCTCTCGACTCCGCCACTCTCAACAGCCCGTCGGCGTCGGCGTGCTTCCTAGTCACAAGCGCCGCCACCACCACTTGCGGCGGCTTGGCAAACTTAGCAGGGCCACCCATTCCGTGCCATGGGATATCGTGATCCCATCCCAGCCCTCTGAGGCTGAAGGGACGGAGTACATTGTCAGGGTAGCACCAACTTTTTCATATCGGAAATCGTCATTTGCCCTCCTATGGAGCGGCGCACGGCACGTCTCTTCTCCTTCTTGCTCTGTAAGCACCACTACTACGTGTCAGGCTCTTACTGTGAGTGTAGCCCGTGGCGATCGGCGTCTCCCGCGTCCGGCGTGTTGTGTCATTGGTCCCGCCCCTCATGATGTTCCTTCGCTGCCGCCACCCTGTCAGGTGCGGCGTTTTTCACTGCCGCCGCGTCTACACCAATCTTCCCGCGCGACTGCGGCGGCGGCGGCAGCGGCAGCGGGGTGTCTGCGCCTCAGTCCAAACCCTGGAAGGGGAAAGCATTGAGTAAATCTTTGCCGCTCTATTTCCTGCCCTCGCTTCGCGGTGTTGCCAGTCTCTAGGTAGAAGCAGCAGGTGAAGTGCAATGTGCCCACCTCCTCCAATGTTCAGCGAACGAGTTTTCATGTTGTCTTCACTGTGTGGTGGATTGCTGCGTTGCATGTGGTTCTGCATGTCGCCCCTGCTGGGTCGTGTAAATTACACGACGAACTTGCAGCCATGTCGATTTTCCATTACTGAAAAGTTGTCAAGGCATCTGATGGCGTTTCAGTGTTGCTACTAGCACTCGACCCCACTTGTCCTTCCATGTCCCTCCCCCTATCCCTGCGATTCCCACTACCAGTGAAGTACGTGGTCAAGTACCGTCCCACTAAGGTCAATGGCAAAGTGGTCGGCGACAAAGGGGCATCTGCGAAACTTGTGATCACGGGGGTGATGTGAGTCCCCAATAACTTCTATATTTCGTTTTGTCTACGAAGCCCCTCACTCTCAGTAGTGTTAAGGTTGAGGCGTTTTGGCTCGATCACGGACTGCGGTTTCGAAGGAGGAAGGAGGGATACGACGGGAAAGGGTGAGTTGGTTCACTTGGAGTTTAGGGGGCGAAGGAAAACCTGCTGTTTCCATGATTGTTCGTATTGGGGAGTTTTTACTCCTCTAGCCCTCTCTCCTCCCCTCCTTCCCCCCCCCCCCCCCCCCCCCCCCCTTGCACCGTTCCCCCCATCTTTCTTTTCCCGGCCTCCTCCCCCTGTCTCAGCCTGCACGACCTTCCTCTTCCCCTCTTCCCTCGCACCACCTTCCCCTTTCGCCCTTCCGTCCTCCCGCCCCCACCACCATCCCTTCTTCGTTCCCCCTATAACGCCCCTATACAGGCGCAGCGGATGCCCTTCAACCCATTGTGTGTGCAGCAGGAGTTACATCCACCCCCAAACCCCACATTCCATTCAACCGGCTCCCTCACTTCCCTTCCCCTTTTCTCAACCCCTTTTCTCACTCCTGGTTCGCTCTCGGCCATCTTTCTCCTTGTCCTGTTGGCAGGTACTCAGCAACTTTGTACAATATCAGAATTCGTTTTCACACGTTGAACTTAAATTCTGGTGGGTCGGCCCCTACTGTCGGCAGTGCAACTTCCTGCACTTCTTCCGCAACAACTTCGTTTGGCTATACTATGATTAACATCACGAGTAACAAGGTCGGTCGTCGCAAGCGCTACAGCTTCAAGTACTCTGGTGAAACAGACCAATCGTGTAAGGTTGCTGACCTTCGTAGTCAGGTCGCCCTTGCGGTGTCCCGACTAGGCAAATACACTAAGGTGTTTCATTCCAAGAACCCTAATGCACTCTGTGGGAAGATACGCAAGGTGAAGTAATGGATTCCTAACTTTTCCTATGAGGGTGCAACTATTCATGTCCACAGTGCACTTCGGGATGTGGATTTGCGTGGTTAGGCTGCTTAGTTGTTTCGTATACCAGTATGTGTTTGTACCGAACCTGAACCTTGGCCAGAGTGGGCATTATCATAATGTAGGTTTTGTTTTCTTACTTCGCACCCCTGATTACCGCGCACACAACCGTTCCCGCCAATAATACCCAACATTAACCGTTACAACCTCGCGACCAGGCCCTCAGATGTCAGCGTAAAACACGCTGATTAGGCTGATTTTGTAGCTGTGATTTTCGTTTTCCCTGAAATTTCAGTGTCTTTATGTTTGCACTGATTTTTCAGTTTAAAGTACCGTAATCTCCCGGATAGTAGACCCTAGGGTCTTATGTAAAATTCATAAAAAAATAGGGGGGGGTCTTGTCAACGGCACAAGATTGTATAGTACCCGGGTCTTATTAAATTGATATAATTTTTAAAGGTGTAATCGAATGCCTCATTGATGAGGATGCTTGACATTGTTTTTTCACTGTTGTTTGGGCCGCACATGTGCGGCTTCTGCGATGTAGCCACATCACACAGGGGAATCAGTTTGTGGCCTTCTCATTGGCCGAAATCGCACGTTACCACATTCCATCATTAAGATTCGTTTTGTGGCTCGTCAGCGTGCCATCCCACTTCGACACCCTGACACATGCACGGCTCGAGCGCAGGGGCTGCACGGTGGCCCCAGCAGGAACCCCTATTGTTCAACGGGAGGCACGTCAATCCTTTCACCCATCACAATCCTTCTCTTCCGCCTGTTTCTTAATCCACGCACGAAACTGATTTCAGCTCGGCAGAGTGGTGCGCTTAGGGGCCGTAGCTCTAGGATGGTCGTCTTAACATGGCTGGAGGAGGTACTTAGAGCAGTAGCTAGAGGTGTAAGCTATCGTTCACGATGGTGACGTCTCCAGATTCAGGGATGTCGCACGCAAGGCGCCCTCGTCCCACTAACGCTAATCGAGCATCGCAAGCACGAGTTTCACCCCGTCCAGTGTTGCCAACAGCTTCACCTTCCTCGAGTGATCCTAGCGAAAGTTCCCATGGCATTCGCCGACCGCCACTTCCTAGAGTCGTGATCCCTACTTTTCCGGAGTCTAGTCGCCCGCAAGGCATGAAACGAAGAATTCTAGATGCTGCACCTCCTTCCCCTCGTCATAGGATGACGAAACGCTCTCGTAACGCGTTCACCGCCAAGGAGAAACTGCACTGGCTGGCCATGTTGGAGTCACAGCCTGACCTCAGCATCCGTGGCTTGGCAAAGCTCGCCAAGGTGCAGCCCAAGCAAATCCGCGAGTGGAGGCGACTCAAGGAGCGTCTCGAGGTCGCCGCTGGTTGTTGCCGACGTCTTAACGGTGGAGGGCGTAGGGCGAAGTGGCCCCTGATGGAGAAAGCAGTTTACCGCCAATTCTTGGCGCACCGTGCCAAAGGATTGGCGGTGTCGGTGAGCCTTCTCCGCAAATGGGCATCTCAGTACATGAAGCACCGTCAGCCTACCGCCGATTTTCGCGCATCGGCACGTTGGACCTTTCGCTACCGCGTGCGGTGGTCGTTGGCGCAACGCGTGAAGACAAAGATGGGGCAAAAACTAGCCGCCGGTGAGCAAGCTGCCTGTCACCCCCCCTTGCACTAACGGTCTAGGTAAAATGCTATCTAACGCATGTGTCGTTGTGTGTTTAACAGACTGCAAGGGAAAGGTGGAGTCCTTCTGGGAATTCGTCCGCCAGATGCGCATGGTTCATCGCTTTCCCCTCAACCTCATCGTGAACGCTGACCAGACCCCGCTCTGGTTGGAGATGCCGGCGGAACGCACCCTCGAAATGAAAGGCGCCCGCACGGTGCATGTCAGGACGGCGGGTACGAGAAGGAGCGTGTCACTGTCATGTTGGCAGTGACGGCTGACGGCCTGAAGCTTCCCCCGTATGTCATCTTCAAGCGGAAGACGGTGCCACGAATCGTGGTGCCACCAGGTGAGCCCGATGTGTTTCCGTCGTTGATTCCTTATGTTCCTCGTTTCTCCGTTACTAATTTCCAGTTGTGGCGTGTGCAGGAATCGTCATCCGCGCCCAAGAGAAGGGCTGGATGGACGAGCGCCTTGTCCAGGATTGGACAACACAGGTGCTCGTCCCCTTCTTGAAGCCGTTGCGGGACGAGGGCGGACGGCGCAAGCAAGCGCTCCTTGTCTTCGACTCGTACAAGGGGCACCTGACGGAATCCGTGGGGCAAACTCTGAAGATGTTTAAGGTGACGCGTGCCGTCATCCCTGGCGGTTGCACCCCCCTGGTGCAACCGCTTGATGTCTCCATCAACCGCAGTTTCAAGTGCGGTGTTCGCCACCGCTACAGCACGTGGTTTGAGGAGGTCGGGATCAGCCAAACGACACGTGCAGGTGAGTCGTGGTCGACTTGTGAGCTTTAAGATGACTAGGCAGCATTAAATCCACTGCCTTTACATCTCTGCCGTTCATCCTTCTTGTGAACTCCAGGGAACTTGAAGAAGCCCCCCCCTGAAGTGATCCTGAAGTGGATCGTCGAGTCATGGGCTGATGTGCCAGAGGAGCTGGTGAAGAAAGCATTCCTCACCTGCGGCATCTCCAGTGCCGAAGACGGGAGCGAGGATCATCTGATCCTCGCTCACCTGCGGGACAAGGCGGAAGTGGAGGTGCTGGAGGATGTGCTGGACGAGGGGGAGGACGGGGTGAACCCCAACCCGTTCTACGAAGACCCCTCGCACGCCCCTGAGCCCGCCGCCACCAAGGACGACGAGGCAGAGGACGAAGAGGAAGGGCTTGCAGGGGAGGAGGCTGTGGTGGGTGCTGCTGCCGAGGAAGGGGATGTGATGGCTCCGGATGAGGAGGGGGATGAGGCAGATGCAGAGATGGGAGGTGCGGACGAGTGGAGTGAGGATGGAGACGACTGGTGGGCAGCAGGCCGCTATGAGGGAGAGGAAGTGGAGGAGTGGGTTGCAGGCGAGGATGAGTGACTGTTTTTATGTTGTTCTCACCCCTTGTTGCCCCCTAAATCTCTGAAATGCAAACTGTGAATAGGTTGCATTGGTGTCAAACTTGTCTTGCTAGTGAAGCACTTGAAAAGACATCTTATTTCCATTATAAACTAGTGACAACCATAAGGGGGGGGGGTCTAGTAATGATTACCCCTCTAGGGGGGGGTATAGTGAAAACCTGCCAAAATAAAAGACCCACCCCCGTAATACAGACCCGGGGGTCTTGTATTCCGGGGGGTCTACTATCCGGGAGCTTACGGTATAGGACTACCCTGACGAATTAGTGTTTAGGTGTACCAGTAACACTGAAGCATCAGTATAGTGTACTGAGTCACACTGATTCGGACTTACCAAAATGTGTAGGGTACAGTCAGTGGGGTGCGAGTACAAGGGGCTTTAGGCCCGAAATCCCAGCCACATACCAGCAAGCCTCTCACACACGGGACTTGAACCTGGGACCTTTCCGGTAATAGGGCGAAACCTTAGACAGCTACGCCAGTAGTGCTGGACTCGAGATGTAAATTGTTTTACTACACATATATTTCAGTTAGCCATGAAATTCTACCCTGACAAAATCAGCATAAACTTAACCCCCAACGCTGATTTGGTCACGACTTTGGGCAGGGCACGCTGATCCATCAGCATACCCTGAAACCAATCTGAGGGCCTGCTCGCGACACTCCCCTCGACTACATTTCCCGCCACCGTTCACATCACGGCACAACCTCACGGCTCGGCTGGTAACCCGCGCTCCGGCCCTCCGCCTCGACAATTCCCAACCTCGGCGCCAGGCCTGTCGCGCAACCCACGATTCGCTCGTTACCATTACCACGCTAGTTCGCTATTTAACTTCCGCTCATTACTTCGCTCGATGTACTGTTTTGCTTCGATAGTGCAATCATCGTTTGGTCGCTCAATTGCACTCGTAACACTTGGGATCAGAGCCACGACCCTTTTTCGGACTGCCTCCACACCTTCGCTTTTCAAATTACCGTAACTCATTTTTTTTGGGTGGGGGGGGGGGGGGGGGGGGGAGGGGGAGGGGGGGAGTAGACGTCCCTCAACGACCAAGCACCGCTCTTCGTGTGCACTCTCGTAAGCATATACAGCTATGACCGAGGCTCTCGCTGAGCTAGCACGACACCCCCGCCATGGACGAATCCGGCAACATTCTGCTCACGACCTTGACGCAAGAGCGTCTCGACGAGCTTATGCTCCAGCTGGAGGAATCAACGCTCGAAATCGCGACACTCAGAGCGGAGCGTGATTCCGCACTACAGCAATCAACGGCGAACGCACCAGCACAAGCACCAGTACATGCACCTGCACAATCTGAAGAGCCAATTGTCATCTCATCTAGAACGTCATCGCAACACGACAGTGTGGGACAACGCTCAGGCGCAATTAGTGATGGCGCCGCCCAATCCATGCCGGGGATCGAACGGACCAAGGAGGCACCAGGCGCCAATACACCTCGCGAAGCCTGGCGTCACGTCAGCATTGCGACACCCGTCGGCAACAGCGACATTGGTGAGCCAATGCCACTCAAGCTGCAGCGCCTGCCCTGTTTCGATCTTATTCAGCGTGGAGGTTCGACGGATCAATCCCGGGTGTTCACAATGAACGCATGTTTTTTACACGAATTACGTCACGTCGGATGCAGCGAAGATCCGGTACGTCGTATCCTTGCTGCGGGCCAGCCATGGACTGGTGGCGAGTTATCGTGACGTCGTCGAGCGCCTATGAGCCACCATCACAAGGGGAGAGGCCCTCGGGGCCAGCCGTAACATGGAGTTCGTTCTGCGAAGTCGCCCAATACATCACGTGGGATGCGTGGTGCGCAGGGCTTCGGGCGCGCTTCGAGCCGATCGCTGCTTTGATCTCAGCACGCCAGAAGCGCGCGCTTGGCGGAAACTCGGGTTGGTTCAATATTACAGTAGCGGTTTCCTCGCGCTGTGTGAGCAGGTCGGCTACATGCACGAAGCGGAGCGAGTGGATCGCTACGTCCGCGGCTTGAAGCCGGAAACCTTGCAAGAAATCATTCTTCGCGGGATCTCGAACTTCAATGAAATCCTGGCGTGCGCGGAGAAAGTCGACATACTACGCCGTTCGAGGCCCGGGTCCTACTACATACATCGTACTCGGGGAACGACCGAGCATGCCAGTGTACACGCTATCGCAACGAATGCAGCTGTCGCGCCATTTAAGGGGGGCTGCTTCGCGTGAAGCAGGCCGGGCCACCGCAAGAGCAAATGCCCAGAGGAGCTAAGGCGCCGAGGAGCAAAGTAGGGGAGGGAGTCTGGAAGGCAGGGAAACGCTAGCAGTCAGCAGAGTACGGGCCCAATACTGACGAGACTCACTGCTCGCCCGAACACACTGACCCTCACCTAGTGACTGTAACGATTCACACAATCGATCGGGCTCGGCTGAATAAGGAGGGTACAGCGACAGATTGCCCATTACTGATTCACAGGAAAATGTTATAGTCACAATAGGCTTGAATGTGCCTAAAACGAAAGATAGAGAGCACAGACGGATTTCTGCACAGCGGATTCAAACGTTGACAGCGTTCTGCTCACAGCTGCAAATGACTTGATTCAAATTGGATCTGGAGCGTCTTCACGTCGTCTACAATTACCAATTTAGATTGCACGATTTGATAAAAAATTGACGACACAGCGTCGGTTTGAACGAACGGTACTATGGCAGCCACTATAGTCTTAGAACACAAGATAGGAAGAGTTACGAGTTGGGAATGACTCCCAGCTCCTACAAACCCCAAGAGCCGAAGTACAGTGATGTGGAACAGTGCCACACTATCCCCAACCACGAAGGGTCTCGAAACTACCCTTCACTAGGGCCTACACCAAGTGAAATGTTACACTACACAAAGTAATGTAACTATCTTCAATATCTTGAGGTGTACCCTTTTGGCGAGCTTCGAAATCACTTGAGGCTTGACACCAAGGCTCGGGCTCTTCATCACAAACTCATCCTTGAGTTCTTGATGGGTCTGCTGCACACACCTGCGACACGCCGAACTTTCGACACAGGACAGAATAGAAAACCGCGCACGACAAAATAAAAACCGCGCGCGAGACACAAACGACCGCGTAACACGCGTCTAGCGATAACTCGCTATTGACTCGACACACACACTCGACATCATGACTCAACATTCACACACAATTATAAGCATGAAATATATATTATCCCATGCCCTCATACCATTCCATACACACACACATTCACGGCACACGGACAACAAGCCGAGTGCAAACCGTAGGGTTGCACCAACAAACTCCCCCTCGGATTGTTGGCCTTAGGATATGTTGCTCTCTCAGTTCAGAGCCATCCCAGCCAGCTTGCAACACTTCCAATGCTGCTGCTCCACCAGCCTCTTGGTCATCATGTCAGCCGGCTGCCCCGTGGTCTTCACGTAGCGCAACTCAACTTCACCCGCGGTTACCATGCTCCTCGTCCAATGCCACTTCACCCTCATGTGCTTCGTGAGTCCATGCAACACAGGGTTCTTAGCAAGAGCAATGGCACCCTGGCTGTCACAGTACAGTGGGGTAGGTCCTTGCTGCTCCTCCCCCAATTCAGCCAACAAACGCCGCTGCCACACAATCTCCCGTACGGCACGGAAGAGTGCCATGTACTCGGACTCCACCGAGCTCAAAGCTTGGTCAACCTGCTTCTTGCTCTCCCAAGCAGTTGGGCCTCCACCAACACAGCATATGAAGCCTCCCACACTTGTCATGTCCTCTGGTTCTGATGCATATGAAGCATCCGAGTAGGCGGTGAGGAACAAACGCCCGGGTTCAACACCATCCGCGCCCTTTTGGCGCCTTTGTGCCGCCGCCGAGTATTGCAGCCCAACGGTCGGTGTTTGGCCAAGATACTTGGCCACCCTCATTCCAGCTGCTACCTGCTCCTCATTAGGGCATTGCACAACCCTAGCCAGCTGCCCGGTAGCAAACGCGACGTCCGGTCGGGTGTTTACCGCCGCATACATGAGGCTGCCCACCAACGAGTGAAATCGGCGCCTCTCCTCTTCACCAACGCTCTCCTCCTCTGGTCCCTTCACACACTTGAACCCAGAGGGAAAGGGTGTAGCCACATGGCCTTCACTCTGCCCAAAGTTGGCAGCCAATGCCTCCAGGTACTTTCGTTGATGCACCCGCATGCACCGCTTCTCCACATCTCGTTCGATGTGGAGCCCAAGGTAGAAGCTCACGTCACCAAGGGCCTTGCACTTGAACTTGTCTTGAAGCTTCAGCATCACCTCCTTCACAAGGTCAGAAGAGGGTGAGAAAATGAGGATGTCATCCACATAAACCACCATGAAACCCCTCTGCTCCCCCTCGCCAAGCATGAACAAGGAGTGATCGGCCGTTGAGGGAGTGAAGCCGATCCCCTCCAACACTTCGCGCAGCTTCATGTACCATTGCCTAGGGGCCTGTTTCAGCCCATAGAGGGCCTTCTTCAGCTTCCACACTCTGCCACTACCATCATCAAACCCCTCTGGCTGCGCCATAAAAATCTCCTCCTCAAGGATGCCGTTAAGGAATGCCGTTACGATGTCCATTTGCTTTACTACCCATCCTTTGATGGCGGCTCCCGCGAATAGGGTTCGCAGCGTCGTCGGCTTCACCACAGGGGCAAACAGCTCCTTGAAGTCCACCTTCTCCTTCTGCTGGTACCCCTTGGCTACAAGCCTAGACTTGTAGCGCTCGATCTTGCCGTCGGCATCCGACTTGATTTTGAAGAGCCACTTGGACGTTATCGCCGTACGCCCCTCCGGTAGCTCCACCAATTCAAACGTGTCATTCTCCTCGATGCTCTTCAGCTCACTCTCCATGGCCTTCTTCCACTCCTCAGCATCACTACTCTCCAAAGCCTCCTTGAGAGTTGCTGGTTCTCCCGGCATCTCCACCGGAGAGAAGAACGCGAAGGCACACTCCTCGTAGTCACTC